TTGGTGGACTCAGAGTTGGTTAATTTGACGTTGTGAAAACGCAGTGAGTTGCGCCTACCGTATTGTTCTAGTTCTTCTATACCGGTCTCCAGAGACTCAACTTTCTCCTGTAGAGTATGGCAGGTATTGGTAAGGCTGGTGTTGCTCTTTGTGATATTGTTAATTCGGATACACTGGTCATTTATACGATCGGCTTGATCACTAATGGTCTTGTTGAGGGGTTTTACAATTTCTTCCATCATTTCCGACACAACTGTTTTCATCATACTTTTGAAATGTGAGAGCATAGGATCTACCCATACTGGTGCAACCGCAGAGGCAAAGGTATGATTAGATACGGTGGCATGGATGAGTGAATTAAAGTCAATCACTTCAACACAAGGAACCTAGCTTAGCTCTATTTCCGTCGGTAAGTTATACATCTTTCATTTTGATATGTATAGAGGATATTTCATGATTTTCTGTTTCATGTCATATATTTCACAATTATGGCAGAATACCGATATTTTTCACGAGTGCTAAGCACGCCTGAGTGGAAAAAATAGTATACCACACGAGTGAAATATATATGGTATTTAAGGGGGAAAAGTAACACGATGTTATTATTGCTGCATCAACTAAATGCGGGTTTAATAGCGTAATCTTTGAAGCCAGATTCAAATGACGTTACATTTGCCAAAGCGCCATTTTCAGTAAAAACTTTATTTTTCCCATGGAGCAAAATGTATACATACAATTTGAATACTGACGGAAAAGGGTCCGGAAACAAGTTACGGAAATAAATACGTTAATGCCATTTGTATTGGCTACTCAACACAACTGAGTCGTTTGCTGATATCATGTGGTAAGATTTCCAAACAAAAATGATATCAATTGTGTAGTTACCATACTGTTTGTACCAAGGACGCACCAAAGTGACGGCTAATTCTGCCGCCGTTTTTTTTCTGAACGTGAAACTGAAAATCTACGCAGTGAATAGAAAGTACCGGTCTGTCCTATACTGACTGTTATACTGTCTGTCCTATACTGACTGTTATACTGTCTTTCCTATACTGACTGTTATACTGTCTGTTATACCGGTCTGTCCTATACTGACTGTTATACTGTCTGTCCTATACTGACTGTTATCCTGTCTGTCCTATACTGACTGTTATATTGTCTATCCTATACTGACTGTTATACTGGCTGTCCTATACTGACTGTTATACTGTCTTTCCTATACTGACTGTTATTCTGTCTGTCCTATACTGACTGTTATGCTGTCTGTCCTATACTGACTGTTATATTGTCTATCCTATACTGACTGTTATACTGTCTTTCCTATACTGACTGTTATTCTGTCTGTCCTATACTGACTGTTATACTGTCTGTCCTATGCTGACTGTTATACTGTCTGTCCTATTCTGACTGTTATACTGTCTGTCCTATAATGACTGTTATACTGTCTGTCCTATAATGACTGTTATACTGTCTGTCCTATAATGACTGTTATACTGTCTGTCCTATAATGACTGTTATACTGTCTATCCTATACTGAATGTTATACCGGTCTGTCCTATACTGACTGTTAGACCGGTCTGTCCTATACTGACTGTTATCCTGTCTGTCCTATACTGACTGTTATGCTGTCTGTCCTATACTGACTGTTATACTTTCTTTCCTATACTGACTGTTATACTGTCTGCCGTATACTGACTGTTATACTGTCTATCATATACTGACTGTTATACTGTCTGTCATATACTGACTGTTATACTGTCTATCCGATACTGACTGTTATACTGTCTATCCGATACTGACTGTTATACTGTCTATCCGATACTGACTGTTATACTGTCTATCCTATACTGACTGTTATACTGTCTATCCTACCTATCGACTTGATAAAGAACTCGACAATCATATTGGATGAGCCTACTCACTGGAAGCCTCGATGGAGCGGCGTTTAATAAAATATTCATTTTTCAAATCATGTATATGCTGACCAACTCTCTCTCCTTACACTCGTGCTATACAATAGCCATACGATACTGAGATATCAATGCTATAGAAAAAAGAAAAAAACATTGTGCCCCCACGTCCAGGGTAAAAAAACAGAGATAAAACTAATAAGGCAAAAACTCTGGAAAACCTTCGGCGCTTGACATTTAACCAATATAATAAAAATTATATAATGTACAAACAAACTTGCTTCACGCTTAGAAACCGTTTATTTCTTGCCTTTATTTTTAAATTGACATATATAAATCTCCACACCTCACTTCTATCAATGAACATGCCTGTATTAAAAACATTACTCTGTACTAAAAACAATATATACTGTGCATTTAAAAAAAAAAAATGACTTAAGTTGACCGTATGCTGCGAGTTGCAAGGCTAGAATGACCTCTCTCTACTCCACTCTCTGACCACTACTCCCCTGTACCCGACACGGACACCTCGTGCAGCCTACAAACCTCTCATGAATATTCATGAGCACCCTAACACCTGTCTGACGTACCTGTACAGACAAACATTTTCTGCTATACTCTCGAAACGCAGAAAAATGACATTCTCATTGGACAATACTAAAAGTGATATACTCATTGGACAATACTAAAAGTGACATACTCATTGGACAATACTAAAAGTGATATCTATAACCTTTCGAATGTCTTCCCTGCGATGAAGGTGGACGTTTTTATCACACTGATAATTTCCGACAAGTTTTGTCTGACAGGTAAAAATGTAAAACAAAATTATCGCATTGACTATCCCTGGATAGCTACATTGGGAAAGTGTAGGTTTTGTGTGAATATTTCTCTCAAATAATCCAGTTTTGAACAGCTTTAAATCTATGAAATGTATCGTAACATGTGATATATATTCATAATAGCGCAAACAGCTAATACTATATTTAAAATTGAAGATACTCTTGGCATAATTTGTTTCAACAATCTGGCGTGAATAAATAGCAACATCAATAAAGTTGTATTTATTTCGAACGAAAAGTTTTAATAGGGAGCAAATATAGTCTATTTTGTCTTACCTAGAAACATCTGAACAAAAACATGTAAACACGCAGATTTTTAGATCTACTCGAGACTTTACACCAAACTTTCTATTTAAGTATATAGAATTAATGAACAGTGGTTCAACGAAACAAAGAAAATAGGTACCAGAAAATATGAAGTTATGTTCAGCGGTTTCAGTTTCCAGTGCACGTTTTGGTCCAAGTAAGAGGCGACTAAGGAGGGAACCCCTTCCATTGAAGAGATTTTCTTTTTTTTTTTATCTTTATAATATGAGGACACGAAAGTGACAAAAGTAAATTATAAAAAGTATTAAATTATCATAAGTAAACTTTTATTCCCCAAAACAATGTTACGCTAGTGCGCGCATCCAACCGTGCACTGTTATGACGCGTCCTCGGGTATTTTTATACAGGTAGCAATATCGGAATCCCGTGTCTAAGAATAGATTATTGTAAACAGACCACATATTTGGTATTTCGGCATTATTTGTTGGTGTTTAAGCACTTGATATAATTACTATTGCCAGTTGGAGGGTAAAACAATTCATAAATTTCATCAAAAATAGTCTTACCTACAAAGCGTAGCCGTACTGTACACGTGTACAGGGATTTGTTGACATGCTCCGATAAAAGTATGTCGCACTAAATGATAAAGAAATTATTACTAACAAAACTGATAAATCAATAGGTATGTTATTAAAATGAAAACAAAATTTTACATCGATTTGAAAAACAAAATATTGCCTTATTAAGGAAAATGATCACATGCCTAAATATTAAAAAAAAAAAAAAAAAAATGAAGGAGGATTCGAACCTGCACCGTTTATTTTCTAGTCGCAAGTAAACTGCGTTACACATTCGGCTACAAAGAACATTTAGATATTGGCAATTACAAACTTATTTAACCCGAAAAACACCGGTCGCAGTTTAGAGAAACTTGATCACCCCTGTTTTTCATTATTTTGAGCACTTTCCCAAAGGAGGACCACTTTTCCGTAATACGATTTGTGTTTGCAAATTACATCACGATCACAAAAAGTTTATTCAAAAGTTGGTCTTCGGATGGGAAAGTGTTGAAAGTATTTTTTTAAGTCCGGGAAACCCCATCACTTTCATAGATATAGTGTATATGGCTATATTTGCAGTATCATATTAGCAATACCTAATTTCTCAGCAGTTTCAAAATTCATATTCAATTGGTTTTGTATCTTTTGTATGCATTTTTGCTACCCGAAATGCTTTACTCTTTAATCTTTATTTTTTTTCCCGTTTTCATAAATGCCGACTTAGGGAAATACGGGCAGGTTTCCGCCATACCTCTTTATTTTCTAATATCTGAAATGGCAATACCTCACGTTTGGCCTTGGTGTTGTAGTACTGGATGTCTCATTGGTACCGAAAGTCTCATTGGTACAGGAAGTCTCATTGGTACTGGATGTCTCATTGGTATCGGAAGTCTCATTGGTACTGGATGTCTCATTGGTATCGGAAGTCTCATTGGTACCGGAAGTCTCATTGGTACTGGAAGTCTCATTGGTACTGGAAGTCTCATTGGTACCGGAAGTCTCATTGGTACCGGAAGTCTCATTTGTACTTGAAGTCTCATTGGTACAGAAAGTCTCATTGGTACCGGAAGTCTCATTGGTACTGGATGTCTCATTGGTAGTGGATGTCTCATTGGTACTGGAAGTCTCATTGGTACTGGAAGTCTCATTGGTACTGGAAGTCTCATTGGTACCGGAAGTCTCATTGGTACTGGAAGTCTCATTGGTACTGGAAGTCTCATTGGTACCGGAAGTCTCATTGGTACCGGAAGTCTCATTTGTACTTGAAGTCTCATTGGTACAGAAAGTCTCATTGGTACCGGAAGTCTCATTGGTACTGGATGTCTCATTGGTAGTGGATGTCTCATTGGTACTGGAAGTCTCATTGGTACTGGAAGTCTCATTGGTACTGGAAGTCTCATTGGTACCGGAAGTCTCATTGGTACTGGATATCTCATTGGTAGTGGATGTCTCATTGGTAGTGGAAGTCTCATTGGTAGTGGAAATCTCATTGGTAGTGGAAGTCTCATTGGTACCGGAAGTCTCATTGGTAGTGGAAGTTTTATTGGTAGTGGATGTCTCATTGGTACTGGAAGTTTCATTGGTACTGAAAGTTTCATTGGTAGTGGAAGTCTCATTGGTAGTGGAAGTCTCATTGGTACCGGATGTCTCATTGGTACGGTACTGGAAGTCTCATTGGTACCGGATGTCTCATTGGTACGGTACTGGAAGTCTCATTTGTACCGGATGTCTCATTTGTACCGGACGTATCATTGGTACTGGAAGTTTTATTGGTACTGGAAGTCTCATTGGTACCGGATGTCTCATTGGTAGTGGAAGTTTCATTGGTACCGGAAGTCTCATTGGTAGTGGAAGTTTTATTGGTAGTGGAAGTCTCATTGGTACCGGAAGTCACAATGGTAGTGGAAGTGTTATTGGTACCGGAAGTCTCATTGGTACTGGAAGTTCCATTGGTACTGAAAGTATCATTGGTAGTGGAAGTATCATTGGTACTGGACGTTTCATTGGTACTGAAAGTCTCATTGGTACCGGAAGTCTCATTTGTACTGGAAGTTTCATTGGTACCAGATGTCTCATTGATACTGGAAGTTTCATTGGTACTGGAAGTATTATTGGTACCGGAAGTCTCATTGGTACGGTACTGGAAGTCTCATTGGTACCGGATGTCTCATTGGTACGGTACTGGAAGTCTCATTTGTACCGGATGTCTCATTTGTACCGGACGTATCATTGGTACTGGAAGTTTTATTGGTACTGGAAGTCTCATTGGTACCGGATGTCTCATTGGTAGTGGAAGTTTCATTGGTACCGGAAGTCTCATTGGTAGTGGAAGTTTTATTGGTAGTGGAAGTCTCATTGGTACCGGAAGTCACAATGGTAGTGGAAGTTTTATTGGTACCGGAAGTCTCATTGGTACTGGAAGTTCCATTGGTACTGAAAGTATCATTGGTAGTGGAAGTCTCATTGGTACCGGAAGTCTCAATGGTAGTGGAAGTTTTATTGGTACCGGAAGTATCATTGGTACTGGAAGTTTCATTGGTACCGGATGTCTCATTGGTAGTGGAAGTCTCATTGGTACTGGAAGTTTCATTGGTACTGAAAGTCTCATTTTAGTTTAAACATATTTTATTGCCAAGCAAATGGATTGGGCACAAGTTATCAAACTTATAGTAAGCCCTTTCCTAGCAAATTACAAGCATATATTTACAATAGTACAACAAGATGGCAGAATTAATTTACATATATACACTATTTCATTTTTAAATGCTTTAATTTATAAATTGAAATTATAAGAGAGAGACAGAGAGAGAAAAGGGGGAAGAGAGAGGGGGGATAATAGTCTGTAATTATAATACATACATCCACATCATTATTAATGTATGACATATAGTATCTTCCTCTTAGAGAGAGTAGAGATTATGGTTCAATCGAGAGAGAGGGAGAGAGAGGGGACAAGGGGG